CCGGTAGTTGGGGAAGGTGTCACAGGCCCACGGGCCATTGGCCAGGGCCCCGCCTCCCTCGGTCGGGGTCATAGTTTCACACGCAGGGGTCAGAGACCTCCTCACCTGGAGTCACAGCCCCCTCCCTCGGGAGGGGGTGTCAATGGCACAGGCAGCGATCACAGTTTCACACGCGGCAAACTCACAACCTTGGACCGAGGACGCGCCCTCCCTCGTCAGGGGTCCCAGTTTCCCGCCCGGGAAGCCCTGGTCCCTCCCCCGAGGCCGGCGGCCCCTCCTCCCGAGACATGGTGCCGGTCCCACGGGGCCCAGGCTCTCCCGAAGTGTCCCTGGGGGCCGGGCCCGAGGTCTCGGTGCTCAAGAGGCCCGCGCCGGCCGTGTCGCCTTCGCTGGAGGCCGCGGACGACTCGCAGTCCTCGGCCTCGTCGCTCTTCTGGCCCTCCTCGTGGCCGCCCCCCGCGAGCCCGGGAGTGGGCAGGTCGTCGCTGCGCCGGGCCGGGTAGGGCAGGATGGCGGCCGGCACGTTGCTGGAGGCCGGCCTGGCCCGGGTGCTCTTCTACCCGACGCTGCTGTACACACTGTTCCGCGGGAAGATGCCGGGCCCGGCGCACCGCGACTGGTACAACCGTATCGACAACACGGTGCTGCTGGGCGCGCTGCCGCTGCGGAACATGACTCGTCGGGTGAGCCGGGCCGGGAGGCCGGGCCGCGCCGGGGCTGGGAGCCAGGCGAGCGCCGCCCGGGCCTCGGCGGCCCTTTCTGAGCCCCCTCTTTGCCTCGGCAGCTGGTACAGGACGAGAACGTGCGAGGGCTCATCACCATGAACGAGGAGTATGAGACGAGGTTCCTGTGCAACTCCCCAAAGGTGAGGCGCCGGGTCCCGTGGGCAGAACTGGGGCCGAGGCGCCCCGCCGGCCTCGCCCACCACACAGGGCCTGGCGAGCCGGAGGAGGTTGGGGGAGGGGGTGCTGTAGGTGACCTTGCCGCAGAGACAGGCGTCCCAGGCTTTTTTGCCTCCTCAGGGAGGATCTGGCCCTCTAAGCTTAAATGGCTGCGGCTGGGGGTAGAAATTAATTGTGAAATAAAAACTGATGTGAAAGGCATTTAAAAGTAGAGTTGACAAACTTAGATTATTCCTTTGTGCACAAATGTATTCTTAATGTCGGTAACTCAAATCAGTAACCAGAACTGAAAGGCAACTTTTCTATGGCTTGCTTTCATTCATTTGACACTTACTCAGCACTAAGTATGGATCAGACACTGTTAGATATTCAAGATGAAGGTCCTATAAACTGTAAAAAGAAAAGCTACGGCCAATCCCTGGTAAATTTATCATAAAACAACCCATTGCAAAAACTGCATAGGGTTCATTTGGTTTTGATTTGAGGGAATTTTATATATATGTTAGAGATGATAGTGGAACTCCAAAGCACTGTCATAAATAAAGTTCAGGCCTAAATCGTAATTTTCATTAGATGTGAATGCTTATTTGTGGAACTGTTCATAATGGTTATTAGATGTTGCCCTATCTTTACAGTGTTTGACTTCTATTAGCACTGCACAATTATTTTCTTGTTTACTGTACTGATAGAGCCTAATGAACATGCCGTTATTTCAACTGTAGATTTTTTTGAAATCTTAAAAAAATTGTGACTCACATTTAAAATATATTGATCAGTGATGGCACACATTTTTAAAGAATGGGTAACAGTTCCTTGGATTTCCCACAGTATTTTGCCACAAGACCTCAGGAGTTATTAGCCAAAATGGTGAATGTTCCTTAACGTGGTCCATCCTGCGAAGCAAGTCACAGAAAGTGCTCGTCTCTGGGTGTGAGGCAATTGACATTTGTGAGCAGCTATCTTATCCCACTAGCCTAATCTCCAAGGCAGTGGTTCTCACATTTTAATATGCCTAAGAATTACCTGGCAGTCTTGTTAAACTAGCAGATTCCTAGGTACAACCCCCAGAGATTCTGGCGCAGGAACTTTAGGGTGGGGTCCCAGGAATCTGAACATTTAGCAGGCTCCCTAGGTGTTTCTGACATAATTGATGTATAAGCCCCATGCTGCCAGATTTTGCTGTTTTTTGTTAATTTCATGAGCTGTATAAAATATTGACCCTCGTTCGGAGTCATAAGTTTCTGGTTTGCTAAAGTGATTAATATCAAGAGTAGCTGGAGCCTACCTGAAGTCTTAAGGCAAAATAAAAAAGTTGCCCAGTTTGCCAGAGGCCTTATTTCTCCTGTTTATTCTTTTCTTCCTCCTAAGTGATAATATTGCACTAACAAAAGTAGGTGCATTATTTTAATTTTAAAATAACTGTTTTCTACCACATACCCTCTCAAAAAAAGTGGTAAAAAAGAGGAGGCTTATGGACAGAGAAACAGAAAGTTCTTGCAAAACATAGTAGTCCAGCCTCGCAGCTGGATCATGCGAAAATAGTTACACAGCTTTTGTAGATGAATTTTATACAGCTCGTACTTTGTAGCTAAAGATTCAAATACTTTAGCTTTGGTACTAAAGCTCCTAATGGTACTTTAAGAACACTTTAAATCTTGGACATAATCCTAACTCAGCAGCATTGCTGTTGTGTGATGAAAGACCAGCCATGTAGGTCAGCCATTTTAAAGACATTTCTGAAAGAAGTTTCTTTTTAGGCAAACAGTAAACAGTATATTCACATTGTAGTAAACCGTGAAGCTTCCTTGTTGTTTCGCTGCCTCTTGGGAGCCCATCTTCCTACCATTCACATCAGGCTTTTTTCATTTTCTTTTCTATGCTGGTGGACCTCGTTCCAGGAGTGGAAGAATGCAGGAGTCGAGCAGCTGTGGCTCAGCACGATAGACATGACCGGAGTCCCAACCTTGGCTAACCTCCAGAAAGGAGTCCAGTTTGCTCTCAAGTACCAGTCGCTAGGCCAGTCTGTCTACGTACATTGTAAGGCTGGGCGTTCCAGAAGTGCCACTATGGTGGCAGCATATCTGATTCAGGTAGAAAAGGTCTTTCTGGACCGGTCCCCTTTACAGCAGATCTCCAGTCTACTGGCAGACCTTGCTAGGAGCCATGTTCCCAATTTCAGGCTGTTGGGAGGTGGAAAGCACCTGAACTTTGCAGACAGGCTGACCTTTGGCTTTCTCACCAGCCAGCTGTGTGACCTTAGGCAAAAGTGGCTTCCCCTCTCCATTGCTCAATTTCCTCAAACTAAATGTGTTGTGAAGCTTGAATGAGAATGTATGTCAAGCACTGACCTAGAACAAGCACTCAAAAAAATGGAGTTGCAAAGGATGCTAATACCAGCAAAAGGCTAGAAACACTTGTTATAAACATGTCAGGAAATCTACTTCTGTAGATAATAGTGCTGATCACTTGCAGCTCTATAGGACTCACGTTTCTTTAAGTATTTCAGAGTAAAGTTCTGGACATTAATTTCTAGAAACAGTGGCTCCAACAGAATTTTGCCTATCAATTTGTTATGATCAGCAGGTGGGATGCTTTTAAAAACATTTAGAAGCCAGTACTCTAGTCCATCCTTTCCTGTTACAAACCCCCGGCTCATTTTTGTTACCTGTGAGGCCCCTGCAGAGCATTTACTAAGTAATGTAGATAGTTTAAGGAAAAAGGAAATGTAAAGATAAACAGCCTGGCCTTGTGTTACTGTGGACTGGTGAATATATGATTTAACAATACTAAAGCTTTGGTCATTAGGACTCTGTTTTGCTGGAAACTGGGTGTCAGGAGGTATTTTGGGCAAAGTGAGAACTGAACCAGCAGGCTAAAAATCTATACTTTCTTGGTTCTATTGAGTTCTAAACCAGTAAGTATCCTGAGGACACAAAGATAGCCCTCCTAGTTAAATTTTAAAAGTACTCTTTTCTAGACATGGTGACAAGTTGCATAGAAACATCAACTGTGTAGTCTTTCCAGGAAACTCTTGTAACCAACAGCCTAGCTCAGAGAGGACATCTAGTAGGCCTATGCCCGCTTGAATTTAGGATCTCAGCTTCATGTGTTCAACCTTCTATTTCCAGGGTTTGGCAGAATAAAAATTAGATAGAAAGACTGATTTGGGTCCCCCCCCTTTACCTCCCCCAGCCTATTGCATATAATTGTGGGACTTTGACTGAAGGGGTTAAAGTGCTCTCCCACTTATAATATGTGGGGCATAGCTTTTAACTCCCTGCAAAGTGGAATTTTTAAAAAAATGAAATTCTGAGAGCCCTTTAGCACTTGTTATTGGGTCAAGGACACCTTAACACCTGGTCCTTTCTTTGTCTGATTTCCCAACCCTGCACTTCAGGTGTACAACTGGACTCCAGAGGAGGCCGTAAGAGCCATCACCAAAATCCGGTCATACATCTACATCAGACCTGGCCAGCTGGAAGTTCTCAGAGAGTTCCACAGGGTGATCACTGCAGGAGCAGCAAAGAATGAGACTTGTCACACATCGCAGATATGAAGTACATGGATTAGAAAGAACTCAGGACAACCCTGGCTTGCTACAGAATAAGAATGTTTAACAGGACCAAAGGGGCTTAAGCCCAAACTTGACGTAATAGAAACGTGCTAAGTAATGGTTAATTTCACTCCCTGTGTCTTGTTTCGTTTTCTTGAAATAACACTTGTTGTGTGACTAGGAAGATTTAGTGTGGCTTCTATTCCTGGGGCCTGGGGATATGGGACAGGGATAAGGGTTTATTTCCAAAGGTCCAAGAAATCTGTCGTGCACCTGATGTTGTGCCTAATGATATTTACCCCCATAACTCAAAGACGTTTAACACTAGGAAAAGAGAAGAGAAATACTCAGCTATGGCTCTTTGCCACTGTCAGAATCCTAATTCACTGGCCCTATGGGGCTCTCCTCACTTGGAGCAGTCATCCTGTATGCAGACAAGGAAGTATGGGATTCAATCAGTATTGTGACTCACTTAGAAATGTGTGGGTATGTAATTAGTTTCCCTTAGGAAGTCACCCCTTCAGAATTCAAAACAGACACACATATCGCTTCAAAAACTTTTATTTGTATGAACAGTTCCTAGCTCTTGGCTTAGCTTAGAGCTTTTAAAAGAATAGAGACCTTATATATTTGAGTTTGAAAAAAGTTTCTGCGATTAATCAGAAATAATCCTTTCTACTTTCTGGCTTACTCCTTGGAATAAGCCAAAAATAAAACCAAAGTATACATTTCTTGACAGACAGATGAAAAACAACAGACAAATGTCCTAAATTCTAGGGTAGACTCTTGCTGGTGAAGGACACCTTCAGCTTAGTCCATTCTCCCAACCAAAGCCTGAAGGAGAACTCTAACACCTAATTCTTCGTGGAAAAATGACCAATTAGCCACTTAACAGGCTATGGAAAAAACGGAAGACTGGGCATCTTTCCTTCTGTCCCGGGATCAGGGGTGCTTCTATGTAACACTGATCAGGTAAAGAGGGGAGGCAGTGCCTAAGGGCGGAGAAGAGGCTTGCTCTACGTGCTCTGTAGGGAGGCACAGGATTACAAGGGGATGGCGAACAGGCCGGCCTACTCTCAGTTCAACCAGCCAGCTGAGAAGCAGCAGTCTAAAAAGCCCCAAACGGAACACCCTTATGAGTTCAAGGGTTGAGGTGCTGCCTTTCTAACATGTGCCAAAAAATAACATAGTACCTGAATGGGGGCCTCCGGGACTTTGAGTTTGGATGGGTAGGTGCTGGAGAAAGGGAGGGCAAAAGTCAGCCGCTCTTTCCCTCACAGCCTTAGGCCAACACAAACTGCAAATTGGTAAGTAGCACCTTAATGCCTCTAGTGACAGTTACAGCCGAAGTGGCAGGATCAAGCTTGTAGGTGTTGGCATCCCCCTTTTTATATCGGTCCCGAAAAACATAGATGCTCCCATTACAGCTGGCAATCTTCCAGAGGGATGGGGCAGAGCTCCAGGCCTCAGGAAGGCAAAGCCGGGTGAAGCTGTCTAGCAGGGGATTGTAGCACACCAGGGAGTCCCCTTCAGCCACGATGAACACCAGATCCTTATGCACAGCTGCGTGCATGCGGCCAGCGAAGGGCAGCACATAGGGTTTCACGTGACACTTGTCTGTCTCTGTGTCAAAGCACTGGATGAGTCGGGACGGTTTGGTAAAGAAGTCCAGGTCATTCTCCTCCCCCCCTAGTAAGTAGATGATCCCGTTGAGGTTGGCACCAGCGGCCCCTGACACAGCCACCTCTAACTGGGTTGTCTCAGTCCAGACGTTATCACCTACCCGATAATAGATAACTGCATTGGAGAGGGTATCCTGCAGCGTCTTGCCACCCAGTGAATATATGGCATCTTTCCCGGGCACAGACACCAGGGTGTGCTGGAGTCGGTCACGGGGCAAAGGCGCACACCATTCCCAGTCCACAGTGGCATTGTTGCACTTCCACATGCGCCGTGGGATGGACCCTCCCACCACATACAAGTCTCCGCCATGCTTGCAGGCTGCAGTGATCTGGTGGCACAAGCTGTTTTGGCCACTTACACTGATGGAGTCATCTTCTGCACAATGTAAGGACACAGCCAACGAGTGGGTACGAGATGACTCTTTCCCGATCAGGTAAATGTGTACATTCTCCCCAATTTCCTATTGGTGAAATTAAAGGTATAAATGGTACCTATCAGTTCTAGGCTAAGGCTCACTTGAGATACATATCCTTAAGGTCCTAGACCACACACTTGTACCTTGCTCTAACCTACTCTGCTCTAGTTACTGTGTGTCATCCTGACTCTCCTCTAATCACTTTCAGGCATCTTATGCTGAAAGAGAAAACCTGTTACACTCATTCCAGCCTTTTTTATAATTATCATGAGCTGCTACTTTGGATTATTAATGTAATGATGAGTAGTTCTCTCAAGGAGCTTTGGAGCCCAGAGGCTGGTGGCTTCTGGTCTCACACACACATCCTCCTCCCCAGCTCTTATCAGTTTCAAGCCAGAGACTTATTTACGGGCATCAAAGAGGCCAGGCCAATAAATGGCTGGAATGCATGGATATCATGGTGCCCAACCCTAAAGATATCTGCCTTACCTTCAAGCTAGTCCTGAGTGACTCTGAAAAAGCCTCTCTTTCTTCTTTATTAAAATTGATCCAGGCTTCTATTGCCTCTGTTGGGTTCTGGGAACATGGAACTCCATCTGTAAAAACCAGAGGAAAGGTATGGTCAATGGCAATCTGACAATCCAAAAGGGAAATTTAGAACAAGTGGCTTTAAAAACGTGAACATCTTTGTCAGACTACCACCATGTATGTATATGTACATGTATGAGAAATTAACATAAAATTGCCTTGTTTCTTTTTTTAAAATAAATTTATTTATTTATTTATTTTTGGCTGCATTGGGTCTTTGTTGCTGCGTGCGGGCTTTCTCTAGTTGCAGTGAGCAGGGGCTACTCTTTGTTGCAGTGTGCAGGCTTCTCATTGCAGTGGCTTCTCTTTTGCAGAGCACGGCCTCTAGGCACACAGGCTTCAGTAGTTGTGGCACGCGGGCTCTAGAGCGCAGGCTAAGTAGTTGTGGAGCACGGGCTTAGTTGCTCCACGGCATGTAGGATCTTCCCGGACCAGGGCTCGAACCTGTCTCCCCTGCACTGGCAGGCAGATTCTTAACCACTGCACCACTAGGGAAGTCCCTGCCTTGTTTCTTTTAATCAAAATGGATGATTTGATATTCTCCTACTTGCCATGGAAGCAATTTACTAGGCTACAAAACTCACACTTGAAGTATGGTTATACCTCACTTGTGGAGTCAGGATTGTTACCTAAAAATTGGCAAATCACTTGAGAAGCTTCTTATTTAGGTATCTTGACTCACTGTCAATTTACTTATGTAACTAGTCCCACAAATACATGCAAAGTACAGAATGGATGAGACCACTTACACACAAGAGAGATTAGAATATAAATGCAGATAGCTCCTCACTACCTTTTGTGGCTAAGTGCTGCTGTTTTTTTTCTTTTCAATCCAAGATTTGTATATACTGTGAAATGTTGCTTTGTTTTCCTAGCCTTTTCGTCTGGAAGGGACTCTGTCTCTGATATCAGCTACTAAATCTCAACTTACTCTCTCTCAGAAGGTATCTAAATTCTTATCAAGAATAATAATGTAAACTAACACCAGGAAGCCTGAGGGTACCCTTCTCCTAAACTAGAACATTCACTGAACATCATACCGGTGTAGCTGGGTATGATGTTCCCCCTCTCTCAACTTACCAGAGATGATATCAGTGAGTAGACGGTGGGGCAAGTGGAGAAATTCCTCTGTGCTCTGCAGCTGGGCCAGGTGGGCCTTGGCACAGTGCTTGGCAGCAGTGTAGAGCTCAGGATCACTGTGTTGATCTGCCAGCCACATCACCTGAAGACAGTTGCCCACCTGCACTGTGCGGGCCAAAAACCGAGAACACTCCTCAAAGAGAGATGTCAGCTGATACATGTCTGACACCTCATATATTTCCTGCAGCTCCTCAGCTCGAAGTTTCACAGTCCCATGGTAGATATAATCAACCAGGAGCTGGAAAACAGACTCGCTCACATCCTGCAGCACAATTACCCGGTTGTGGGCCTCCTTCAGGTTGGAAGTGAACATGGACCGGAAGAAGCAACTCTGAGCTGAGAGGACCAATCGGTGGAGCTGAAACTCCCGGCCTTCCACTGAAATGGTGACATCAGCAAAGAGCTCTTCCTCCAAACACAGTTTCATGATGCCTTGAGCCACACGGCCTGAGTGTGACCTATCTTTGAAAGTGTAGTTCACAAAGTAGTTCTCATCCATGGCTGCTCCAGGCTCCTCTGGTGATTCCATGGTAGTAGCCAACTTCTCTCTCTGCCAGTTGTCTGCAAAACACCACCACCCTGAATAACTGAAGTAGTCCATAGCCACAGCCTATGAATCCAATTGTCCAATGCAGGGAGGGAGAAGGGAAAAGTGAGGGCACAGTCGGCCCAGATTAGCCTTAGTCCTGGCCCTGTTAATGACATCTCTGATGTTCTCCTTCAACCAAAGCTGGACTCACGCTCTTGCAATGACATCACATTCCTAATGAAATAAAAATTTCGTACTCTGGGTGTTTCCCTGAGAAAACACGGAATACTCCTTTCCTTTATGTAACAAAAGGCCTGGTATTTAGGTCAACACATGAAAGCGAGGGATTGGAGAAAGCCTATGATTTTAAAAGCCTGGGAAAAAGCCTTACTAACCAAATAACTATTAGCATAAAACTTGTGAGGCTCGGGGCAGCAGAACCTGACAAAAAGATCCCCATGTCCTTGTGGCCAGGTCCCTCTTTCCCCGCGCAGGGAATCCAGACCTTACAATCTGAGGTTTGTCCTAGGACATCTCTCAGATCCACGTTTGCTCTTTTCTGAGCCTCTCCCCGGCACTTCCCCGCTCGTCCTAATGACTCCCCAAGGCTTCCTCCCAGAACTCGAGACGGAGCCCAGCCGTCCCTAGCACGGGGCCCGAGGTAGCCCATCGCCACGTGCAGGGTTCCCGCTCCACCTGGAGTCGCCTAGGAAACGGCCGCTAGGGAAACCGTTCTTCTCTCCCCCTCCCCCTAGCCTTGCCCAACGGCCCTCATCGAAAGCTTAGCTCAGGGAGCGGGGGAGGGGTGTGGAATGTGGAACCCAGACTTCTCGCCCCTTCTTCTCTCACCAGTCTGGTTCCTTAGGATCCTTGCCTTCTCTCCAGCCTCTGTCACACCAAGCTAGGGCACGTTCACGTCACGGTTTCCCCACCCGCTGGCTTCGCTTTCTCACCTGCCTTCCCTCCTTTCATTCCGAAGCCCGGAACCCGGAACCCGGAACCCGGAACCTCTGCTTCCGACCCCGCGTCCGCCCGGAAGAAGATCTGTTGCACACTTCCGTTTCCGGTCCGTGCCCTTGGGGCTCCGTGTCCTATGGATCTGCCCTCGGCTACCTGGAGTGTATCCGGGGAACATGGCGGCGGCGGCGGCAGCAGCGGCTCGGAGCTTTTGGCTGGGGCTCGTGGGGTCCGCTGCGCTGGCCAGAGGTGAGCAGTGGACAGCTGGCTGAGGCCCGGGGCAGGAACGGCTACACGCCCAGCGCAGGGAGTTCCTCAGGCCTCACCCTGCGCTTCGGTGTCTATCTTCCCACGCAGTGGCCTGGAGACCCTTGGTGCTGTTGCTGCCGGTGAGGAGGGAAAGCGCCGCGGCAGACACGCGCCGTGAGTATGTGCGGGTCCGGCCCTTCTCGGGACTACAGGCGGGGCCCCGTTCATTCCCTTTGTCAGATGTTTGCCCTTGTTCTGGGCTGCCCTCCCCTGCGTTTCCTGGCAAGTCTCTGTTTGTCCTTAGAGAGCTGACTCCAATGGTCCTCACTCTGCAGAGTGAGGCAGAGTCGGGCCCTCCCTGTGCCCTTAGGCCTCTCTGTTATGGTCCTGTTGCCCCTTGTCCATTTCCATGATTCCCTTATTCTCTGATTAAACTGGCATCTCTTTGAAAGCAGGAAACATAAACTTTGGGCCTCTGAGTCTTGTTATAATAGTAGCCCACGTTACTTGAATGCTTATTGTGTGCCAGACACCTCGCTAAGCGATTAATGAACGATTATAGTCTCCACAACAATCTTATGAGATAGATAGTATTATGCTCTTCTACTGTAGAGCAGGAAATAGTCCAGAGAAGTAACTTGCCCGGGATCACAGCACTAGTAAGTGACAAAGTAGGCCTGCCTGCTGCCAAAGGCAGAGAAAACAGTTACTCTGCGGCCTATGATGTGTGGTTGCTCCGTGATTTAGTGTTGTACGAATGAGTGTACGGAGATAAGTTACAGTCAATATAAGCCGAGTGGGAGTCAGGAAACCTGACATTTCCCCCTTTCTGGGCCTCAGTTTCCTCATCTATGTCACAAAAAAAAAAAGGTTTCAACTACATAATCTGTGATGGCTCTTCAGCCCTGAAGTTCTTAGCTGGAGAACCTGCTATGAGCCAGATGCTAAGGAGATAAAGAGAAGCAAAAGTTCTGATTCTCACACTTAAAGAGCTTCTAGTGTGGTAAGAGAGCTGAGACATATGCTGCTTTTAGCAGAAATGCAGGCATTGTGAAGGAGGAACCATGGAGTAGTTTTGAAAAGGGTCAAACACCCCAGCTGCAGTAATAAGGTGAGTCTTTGTGGACTGTGTAGGTGGCATTTTCCTTATGTTTTCATCACTTCCTGTTCCATGGAAGAGGAAGCTTCCACTTCACCTTTCTCAAGGTTCTGCAGGGAGTCCTGACTGGGAAACAGCACCCCTTACAAGCTCAAGAGACTGAATGCAGGGCTGGCTGCTGCCTTCTACTTTCCTTACTTAAATATGCCTTCTCCTTCCAGCCACTGTCAGACCACAGAATGATGTGGCCCACAAGCAGCTCTCAGCTTTTGGAGAGTATGTGGCTGAAATCCTGCCCAAGTATGTCCAACAAGTTCAGGTAATATTCACTACTGTTGTTCGGGTTTGGGTCAAGAAAGAACCATGTTGAGACTTCCCTGTCAGTCCAGTGGTTGGGACTCCGCACTTTCGATCCCTGGTTGGGGAACTAAGATCCCACGTGCCACGTGGCACAGCCAAAAAAAAAAAACCAAAAAACACTGAAAGAAACAACTGTGTTCTTAGGGCATGTGGGAGTGGGCAGCCTGGAATCAAATCACAGACTCCTCCATCCCAACTTGGTCTTTTTTCTCTGCCCTTAATCGGGAGACTCCAGCTGAAGTTAGCTGCTCCCTCTGTAGCTTTGTTCCTTCTCCTCTCCTGTTCCATGTCTGCAGGTGTCCTGCTTCAATGAGTTAGAGATCTGTATCCATCCTGATGGAGTCATTCCAGTGCTGACTTTCCTCAGGGATCACAGCAATGCACAATTCAAATCCTTGGCTGACTTGACAGCGGTGGATATCCCCACCCGGCAGAACCGTTTTGAGGTCAGTCAGGAGACTTGAGGTTTGGAGAGTAAAGGAGGGAAAGGGGACAGAACAGTTTTAGGGTGATAGCTACCTTTGGGAACCATAGCCTCCGTAGTTTCTGTTCAGGTCAAACAATACAACACAGCAGTTAAACCAGGGCCTCGGAATCAGGCAGACTGAATTTGAATTGTAGCTTTGCCATTAGTAGGCTGTGTGGCTTCAAACATTTTGTTTGATTTTTCTGAATTTAGTTTTCTTATGTGCAGAGTAAGTACAAAAAAAGCGTAAAACCACCCTATCTGATAGGGTGGTTGTGAGGATTAAATGAGATAGTACAGGTAGACTGCTAGCACACAATAAGTTCTCAATACATATAGCTATTGTTATTGTTAGTATGGTCATCTACTTTCTGCCAGATCCTGGGATTGAGAGAGAAATAACACCCAGTACCTGCCCTCCAGGAGTCCCCCACACTCTAGTGAGGAAGAAGGACACATAAAACAGTTTACTGTAATAACATAATTCATGGGATATTATAAGAACACAGGAGAGGCACTTAGCCCTGTCTAGGAGGCTTTTATGAAGGGAGAGAGAAAGTTTGTGCTGAATCTTAATGGATAACTAGGAGACCAGGAATGAGCCCAGTGAGGGAGGGCAGGTCGGGAGGCATCCAGTAGCATGAGCAAAGACAAGCATGCTGACAGGCTGAGCTATAGGGTGGCTTAGGCCTTTGGAAGTAGTTGCAAGTATAAGAGCATCTTGAGGTTTTGAACTTCGGGACAGAAGGCAGGTTCACAGGGTGGAACTTTAACCCACCCTGTATCCTCATTATTATGCTCCCACTCAGGGACTTCTGTCCCAGACCCCTCAGCCTGTGGTCCTCTTGGTCCTCCAGCTCCCTCCATTCTCCCTAGATTGTTTACAACTTGCTCTCTCTGCGTTTCAACTCCCGGATCCGTGTGAAGACCTATACAGATGAGCTGACACCCATTGAGTCTTCTGTGTCTGTGTACAAGGCAGCCAACTGGTATGAGAGGGAGGTGAGTTACTGGATGTGGTGGACCCACCTCTGGGCCGGAGTTGCAGAACTGATTGAAATTACTGGATACAGTGCAGCCCCTCACCCTGTGTTGGCTGTGATGGCTGGTTGCCTGAGTGCCTCTTTTTTCTAGATTTGGGACATGTTTGGAGTCTTCTTTGCTAACCACCCTGACCTAAGAAGGATCTTAACAGACTATGGTTTTGAGGGACATCCTTTCCGGAAAGATTTCCCCCTGTCTGGCTATGTTGAGGTAGGAGTCTTGGAACTGGGCAGCAGTCTGGGCAGGGAGGACCTGGTAGAGATCCTGGGCAGGAATTATGGCCATTGGATTGTGGTGGCTTAAGAGCATCAGTACTGGATTCCATCCTAGCTCCACTCTGACACAGTTTTGTCATCTGCAAAATAGGAACAATAATAGTACTTAACCATAGTAGATTTGTAGAAAACTAATTGATGTATGTTTAAAAGGGGAGTATTGTAAATGTTCAGTTGATGTTAGCCATTATTTTAATGGTCATTTTAATGACCAAGGCAGACTTAAGGACACAGCTTGTCACCAGGATACTGTCACCAGTATCTTTTTACCCTGCCCTGGATCTCTGAGAAGGCAAGACACTACATGTTCAGCCCTTGAGAATGGCCAGAGGCAAGACCAGTAACAATTGCCTACAAGAGCCTTATGAAGAATTTCAGTGCTTTACTTTACGATTGCAACACGTTGCAGGTTATTAGCAGGAAGATGGTTTATTATATACACACACACATGATTTTGTAGCAAAGTAACTTTTTAGAAATGTTGGGATAGTGGCAATCCAGCCCATCACTTCATACCCAAATGCTCCTGTTTTCTTAGTGTTTAGTTTAGCATGGTCCCATTCCCAGCACCCAGTTGTCTTTACCTTATCCAACTGATCTTCCAATAACAAGAAAAGCCATGCCACATGTATTGCCTTGCATCTTGGCAGTGATAATGCCAAGGCCACAGGGCCTGAACTTGAGTGCTTGCCAGCTTAGGTTTGTTGTTTCCAGCCACTGACTTGCTCCCTCATCATGGGCAAACGCTTACCGTCAATTTATAAGAGTGTGTTGAGGGAATTCCCTGGCGGTCCAGTGGTTAGGACTCCACGCTTTCACTGCCATGGGCCCACGTTCATTCCCTGGTTGGGGAACTAAGATCCTGTAAGCCGCACAGTGCAGCAAAAAAGAAAAAAAAGAGTGTGTGGATGGGTGAGCAAAGTCAGTTCTGGTGGAAAAGGAGCTCAGAGCTCCTGATGTGGGGATGGTGGGCAGGGGGGCCTGCCTGGGCGATGGCAGGGCATGAGATAGAGGCCATTTTAGACTGTTTGGGTTGTGATCTGATGGGTAACACAGATGAGGATGGAGACTTACAGAGGCTGGGACAGGAGTCAAGGACAGAGAAGTAAAGGGGCTGAGGAAGGCTTTGGGAAAGTGGGCCTTTAGTGGCTGTAGCAAGGTCTTCCTTAGTGCTCAAGCCTGCCTTTTTCTTCTGCAGTTACGCTATGACGATGAGGTGAAGCGGGTGGTGGCCGAGCCGGTGGAGTTGGCCCAAGAGTTCCGCAGGTTTGATCTGAACAGCCCCTGGGAGACTTTCCCTGCTTATCGCCAGCCCCCTGAGAGTCTCAGGCTTGAAGCTGGAGACAAGAACCCCGAAACCAAGTAGTTTCAGGGAAGGCATGTGTATCCTAGAAAGCGCCATATCTATCATTGAGCGTCCCTGTAAATAAAATCCGACTTAGATTCACCACTTCTGTGTGCTTTTTGTGATACGCGGGCCGCTCACTGTTGTGGCCTCTCCCGTTGCGGAGTACAGGCTCTGGACGCGCAGGCTCAGCGGCCATGGCTCACGGGCCCAGCCGCTTTGCGGCATGTGGGATCTTCCCAGACCGGGGCACGAACCCGCGTCCCCTGCATCGGCAGGCGGACTCTCAACCACTGCGCCACCAGGGAAGCCCTGGATATACTTCTGAGAGAGAGATTCTGGAGCTGAAATTGAAAGTTCTCACAATCCACAGGGCTCAGGATGGGTGCGGCAGGGCCTCTCCTGAGAATTGGAGGGGTCTCAACGACTGCTCGAGAAAGCCCCTTGTCACAGCATACTGTCTGGCGGCAGCTGATGGATCCAGGGGCCTGGGTGGAAATAGGGCACCCTCCACCCACCCTCATCCTCATCCTACGCAAACAATCACAGGGTTCCATGGGCCAACAGTCAGAGCCAAGAAGAGCTTCAGCTCATTTTGAACCCTGTGTCCTGCTCCCTGCAAGCTGACAGCCCATCATGCTTGGGCTAAGGGAATCTTCCTGCACTCTGGCCTGAGCTAAGAATGCTGTAAGCAAGCAAAGGGGGTCCCAGTCTGGGGCAAAAGACAATCAGGAGCTGCAGGTCTGTCTGCCAGGAAGCAGCACTCCGCACCCGGCCAGTGTGCAGTCTGTTCAGCCCCTGGCCGCGTGCCTGAGGTGGGAGTGTTTCTCTGCCTGTCGGTGGGCCGCTCAGCCAGCACACCAGGCAGTTGGAAGATCAGGCTTTGCAAGCTGTTGCTCTTGGCTACTGAGGGGCTCCCTGGAGGCTGGGCTGGACTGGGTGTCAGGGGCTGGACTCAGCTGCAGAATGTTTTGGGGGTGACGACAGATAGTAGTGTAACTGCCTGGGCTCTTGCCTACCTTTTTTTTTTTTTTAAATTTAAAAAAAATTATTTATTTTTGGCTGTGTTGGGTCTTCGTTGCTGTGCGCGGGCCTTCTCTAGTTGCGACGCGTGGGCTTTCTCTAGTTGTGGCGAGCGGGGGCTACTCTTTGTTGCGGTGCGCAGGCTTATTGCAGTGGCTTCTCTTGTTGCAGAGCACGGGCTCTAGGTGTGCAGGCTTCGGTAGTTGTGGCACGTGGGCTCAGTAGTTGTGGTGCACGGGCTTAGTTGCTCCGTGGTATGTGGGATTTTCCCAGACCAGGGCCCAAACCTGTGTCCCCTGCATTGGCAGGCGGGTTCTTAACCACTGCACCACCAGGGAAGCCCCCCTCTTGCCTACCTTTTTGGAGGGCTAAGTCAGAGCTGTTTGCTACCAAACACCTTCTTCCTATTAACTAAGCATCCCGCCCATCTGGGCAGGAATAAGCTAAGGGCCTGACAAGCCAGGAGCCAGGCTCTTCCTGCCAACAACCACAGATTCCACATTTCTGTGGGATGGAAAGAGCCCCTAGGAAGCCAGAGCCAGCCCCTCCCTGTTAAGCACGGAAGAATGACACGCCAAGCAGGGAACGGCTGGAGCCTGCAGTGGAAGGTTGGAGCCCTGGTGTGTGGGAGGCGGACAGAGGTGCAGAGAGCAGCTGGGGAGAATAAGACTCAGAGGACGTGTGGGCCATGGCTGGGACGATGCAGTTCCTGGCTTGGTTAATGGTAGCCATTTGCTTCCTCCCTGGGGTGACTACAACCCAGCACCGTGCAGGTACCGGGGCCTTAGGGTGGGGTGGACAGGAGCCAAGGAAGGCTGCTGGCTGACAGCAGTTACACTTGGTCCTATCTGAGCCTAGCAGGGCTTAGGAACTGAGGGCATGACGGGTAGCAGGCTGACCTGCGCTGTGGGGTGGGGGAGGGGAAGGTGTGGGCCCCACCCAGAACCAGAAAGGTCGGGGTGAAGTGAGGGGAGATAGCCCTAGGTGCTCTCAATGGGCCTGGGGCTTATTCTGGCTGGTGTGCAAAGGAGGACCTCTTAACCTGCCCTGGGCTTAGGACAATCATTCCAAGGTTTAGGCAGCACCCCAGAAGAGGGGTGAAGGAAGCTGCAACAGACATCCTGCCTTGCCTGGCCTCCCTGCCTTGCACACGGTTACTTACCGAGAAGCAGGAAAGAAAGAGGTTCTTCTCAAAGGGGTCCTTGACCTTTGGGGAGGGTCACTGGCAGTTTCAGGTCATGCTGTCCCTAGATGATTATATAGGAAAGAGAAATGGGAAGTGAAGTGTCTTGTGACCCGTTGGCCTGGAGCTCTTGGCCAAGTAAACTGTAGAAGTTCAAGGAGGAGTCCTGGACGTTTGTCAAGACAGTATCTGGGTTTGGGATGATGCTTTTGGGATCACAAGACCTATGCCTTGTGAATGAGAGAGTGAATGTCAATGTGCATATGTGTGTAGGGGGAGGTGGACATGGGATGGCACTCCTGTTCTTTTGTAGATAGAAGAACCTCTAGGCACCCCTACCAGGCAGCTTGAAGGGACTCGTGGGAGGCTGGGGTGTTCAGGGTGGAGCTTGGCAGGGCCCTGACTCCTCTCTGCTGCCCCAGGGCAGCCCATGGACAGCACCAACGTGGGAGGTGGCCTGCAGGAGCCAGAGGCCCCGGAAGTGATGTTTGAGGTCTTTCCTCCAGCCTGGGACATGGGGGTGGGAGTGTCCAGATGTCCCTAAGCTCAGGGTTGGGAAGGGGGATGCCTCAAGCTGGGGCTGCTGGGGGAGGGGAGCCAACCCAGCATGGGTCCTGCTGCCTGCTTATGCCCCCCCGGCCCCGCTCCCTAGGCCCCAGCCCACCCCTTACACGGCTCCCCTTGCAGCTGCTCTGGTCTGGGCTGGAGCTGGATATCATGGGGCAGCTGCACATCCAGGACGAGGAACTGGCATCCACACGTCCAGGCCGCCGGCTCAGTCTCCTCCTGCAGCACCATGTGCCCAGGGACTTGGAGGGTGCTGAGCAGCGGCTGCAGCAGTTCCAGGACCTGCGGAAGGGACCCCCTCTTAGCCCTTGGGACTTTGAACATCTGCTCCTCACAGGCCTGTCCTGTGTCTACCGGCTCCCTGTGGCTAGTGAGGCTCAGGAGAGAGGTCGCTGGGCCCAGGTCTTCGCCCTCCTGGCACAGGAAACACTCTGGGACCTGTGCAAGGGCTTCTGCCCCCAGGGCCAGCCCCCTTCTCTGGGGCCCTCGGCCTCTACCCTTGACCCCTTCCCCTAACCCTCCCCTTCTGCCTGTCATTCCCACCCCAGCCCCCTCCACCCCGCCCCCTACCTGAGCCAGACCCATCTTGGCCAGGGGCCTCCATCTGGCACCTGGTTTTTCCCACTGTGTTCGGGCCTCTGGGCTCGGCTTGTACCCCAGACCCCAGCTTACCCCTCCCCCATCTTCTTCCCTGGGCCCAGGCTCTGGGTCCCAGGCAGCAGGCACAGACCTAAGGGCAGGACTTGCAGGCAGTGTGTGTGGCGGGGTGGGGGTGGGGGGCGGTGGGTGTAGGGGTCAGGGTTGAGAAGTGTGTTTAAGGGATGCTGAAAGGGAAGCTCCCAAGTAAGGCCAGGTCAGACCCTCCAGCTCCTACCCAGGCAGTCCCATGAGAGGCAGAATCTACAGGAAACTCGTAAGTGCTCAGTGCCCAGTCCTAATGTAGACACCTCTTTTAAACCCAACCAAGGCTCTGGGGGTCCCTAAGCCTCCAAGTACCCCATGTGGGCTAGGAGAATAGGCTGGACATTTTCAGGTCAGTCTGTTGGAGGAATGGAGGGAAGCAGGTTGAGGAACATTATTTTCTGGGGGGCAGGGAAGTGAGAAGTGTTTTTTGGTCCATATCGACAAGGCTTAGAGGAGGGAGTAAGGCTGGAAGGGGACTGAGGCTGGCTGGTGTAGTCCTGATCCTGTGTAGCTCATCCCATAAAATGTTCTGTTCTAGCCTCCTGCAGCCCTGTGTCCTTCTGTTGTCAGAGTAAGTTGTTTAACCAGTGCCTTGAGCAAACCACCCTCCTCATCCCGGGAGGGCAGGAATCAGGGCAACCAGATATCAACTGCTTGTCCCATGCGCACGCCCTACTGGGAAAAGGAATGTACCGTTTCCTTGAATCCCATAGCCCCAGTGAGGCAGCGGGGTGAAGTCCCTTGTCACAAAAAAGAACCAGATGGGCCCTAAAAGTAACGTCGTAGGTCAACGGGGAGGAATTACAGGGACTGACTGGAATGGGACATGAAGGGGAGGCCCAAATCGGGGTTAGGCAAGTAGGGTTCAATCAAATTCCCACCTCCTCGCCCTCCCAAGGCCTGACTGAATGCTGCCCTCTGCCCTCCGACCCCCACCCGGGGCCAGCTGTAGTCAGTCCCTCCCGCCCCGCCCGAGACAAAAGCGTCGCAGTCAAGACAAAGCGCAGGACCCCGGCAGACAGGCGCCGGCGCAGGCCCACTTTATTCGCAGAGTCCAGCCACGCTGGGCGGGCCGTCATGCTCGCGCCGGCGGGACATTTCGGGCCGCGGTCCCGTCTTGGCATGCACGCCCCGGGCCGCCCGGGGCTCCTCTCCGGGTCGTGGCTCAGAGCTCCGGAGGCCCGAGGCCGGGCGGGCCGGCGGGGATAAGGTCGGGGTACACCAGGAAGCCAGAGAAGGTGATGTACTTGCCATGGTTGCTGTAGGCGCCGTAGCCGTCGTGGTCGTGGCTGAGCAGCCAGACGGCGTCGCCGCGCCGTAGCGCCAGCATCACGCTCTGGCTCTGCATCTCGCGACGCCGCGATGTGCCGTCGTCGTAAATCATGGCCTGCACCTCGTCGCGGTTCTTCATCAGCTTCACCGACAGCGTCTTGCGCGGCAGCTTGCCCAGCGTGAAGGAGAAGAAGTAGGCGCCGGGCAGGCGGCAGCGGAACACGCCAGCCGCCGCGTCGAAGTCGCCGCCGATGTTGACGAGCTCAGTGTCGAAGGCTAGGGGCCGGTGCCGCGGCCCCGGGCCCGCGTCCGAGCCCACCAGGCTGCGCGTGCGCGCCGCCGAGAAGGCCGAGCGCGGCTCCGGGGACGCGGGCGGCCCGCGCGCGTCGGCGTCGGCGTACACCAGGTAGCCGCTGAAGGTGGCGCCGGGTGCCCCGAGCGCGTACTGCTGGGCGCCGTGCAGCCGCAGCCACACCGTGTCGCCGTAGTCGAGCTGCAGCATGGCGCTCTGGCTGGCGGCGTGCCGCGTGGCGGGCCGCCGCTGCTCGTCGAAGGCCAGTGCCTGCACCTCGTCGCGGTTTCGCACCAGCATCACCGACAGGCTCTTGTGCGGGGCCTTGCCAGCCGTGAAGGAGAAGAAGTAGGCACCGGGCACGCGGCAGCGGAACTGACCGGTGGCCGCGTCGAAGTCGCCCCCGATGTTCACGTACACCTTGTCGAAGGTCACCGCCATCTCCGACGTGCCCTCCAGGGGGGTGATGCGTGCTGCCGAGAAGGCTGAGCGCAGCTCTGTCGAGCCCAGAGCCGGGCCCAGGGCCCAGCAGGCGGCCGGGCCTAGCAGGCCCAGCAGGAGCGGCAGCATGGCGCCTGGGAGGGGAGGCACGAAGGAAAGGAGACAAGGGTTGGGCAGGGGCGGCCTGGAGACGGGTTCCCTTCACAGACCCGCCCTTGACCCACAACTAGGACTCCTAGTTTCCTGTACACTTGGACTAGGTCAGTGGTTCTTAAAACGTCATGGGGCCTCAGTGTCACCTGGAGACCCTGTTAAAACACACATTGTTGGCTCCCACGCCCACCTTATCTAGTATGAGGCCCAAGAATTTGCATTTCTAACAGGTTCCCAGGTAATGCAGAGATGTTGCTAGTCTAGGGACCACACTTTGGGGACCACTGGATTAGGCCAGTTTTGGGTTTTTTTTTTTTTTTTCTCTCTTCTTTTTTTGTAACCACCGAACTCCTTTTTCAAGTGAAAGATCACAGACATATACCATAGATGCAAGCAGAAATGCTCTGGTCAGAGGGTCCTATAGCCCTGTCTGCTGGGCTTACACATCCCCTCCTCCTTGACACCCAGGGGCCCTGGAAATGCAGAAGGTGGTCAGGGGGTCTCTGAGTTTCCTTCAGCCTCCGATTTGCTGCATTTTCCTGTGTCTGTTCTATGGTCCTTACTTAGCCTGCCCCTCTCTCAGGCACTGGCTCTCTATACTGATATCCTCCATGATGGCTGCTGGTTAAGCCCCCATTTTGGCAGGAAAGGAAATAGCCGCTCCCTGACCCATTTCCTGGCCTCTGACCCAGTCAAGGGTCAGCTCCCACGCTGGACCTCTGGACTCTCCAGGGGCCCTTCTTGCACTAAAGAGGCCAGAACAGATGGGCTTTGAGGTAGCTCCCTCCCCCTGTAAAATCAGAGTAAGAGAAAGAGACTCCTTCCTCTGGGCTTGGGGGCTGGTCACTGAGGGGAAAGAGAGAGCCAGGGGCTGCTGGGGATAGAGTGGGAGAGCAACAGTTCCAGCACGGCTTTGGCAAGTCTGTGAGGTCAGCAGCTTGGTTCCTCAGTAGTAGTGGTGGAGTGGAGAGGACTGACAGCTAAACCTGGGCCCAGGTCCTGGCTCTACCCGTTACAGGCTGTGAAACCTTAGGCAAGTTCCTTCATTTCTCTGGGCATGGCTGCCTCTGTGTAACTGGGGAGGAGACCTGCCTTACAAGCTTACTGTGAGGATGCTCTGAGAAGGCAGGTGTGAACACCTTCGTTGGATGGCACTGCAGTCAATTTTTTGAGAAAATCGATCCGATCAAGTTCTTTTTTTTTAATTAAATTTTTAATTTTATATCGGAGTATAGTTGATGATCAAGTTCTTGACATAAGGGGTTAGGGTTCAGTAACTCCTACCCTTGGAAACTTGGTAAAGGCACTGCTTAACTCAGAGGACTAACTCTCCAAGGGTAGAATGACATAATGCTTCCTAGTAGGGCATAGGCTTTGGGGATTGAATACCCTGAGGGCCTGAAGTGGAGGCAAAGCAGAAAAGAAAATGAGCTGGTAACAGTCTGGACCGTGGGCCTCTATGGGAAATGCCCGGGGAGTGTGTGTATCTTTGTGTCTCTTAGAGACACCGGGGACCTGCCAAGAAGGGTAGCCAGGTGCAGCTGTGATGTGCTACACACAAGGACGTTCATCTGAGGTTAGGTGGGTGCTGAAGCCCAACCCACATTCTACTTGCCCAGCTGTGCGGAATTGCTGCCCCTGGGGGAAAGTGTGCCTTTTTCTAATTCTCATAGTAAGACCCCCAAGTCCCTAGCCCAGCTGAACACTCTCTCCTTACACAGGAAGTAACTTTTCTCATTCTTACAAAGGTGCCCCATGGGCTAGCCAGTACCCTTGGTGAGGGCAGGGGCAGGGAGGGGGGGCATGTGCAGTCGTGAAGATTGCACCTCACAGTATTCAGTGCAGTCCCTTTCACAGAGCTCTTTGGACACGTCTGGTGTCACAGCCAACCTGCGAGACAGGTGGGCCCTCTCCAGTTTTATAGGGGAGAAAGCCAAGGCCCAAAAAGGGGAAGCATTTTGGCCCAAGGCCACTCATGGAGCACTGAGGCAAGCCTTGAGGTCTGTTGGCTCCAAATTCAGTGTGCTTTCCTCTCCACCACCTTTCCATTCTAAACACAGCTATTTCCAGCCAACCTGTCATCTGCCTCAGTTTCACTTTTCACAAAAATTGAAGTGGAATGAGTCTTGGGATCTAGGGTGAAAGGGAAAGAAAGCAAAACCAACCAAAAAAATATTCTTAACATTTTTGTCTTCTGGGAACATCTCAACTCTTCCTGACACTGCTGCTCTCCTAGCAGGTCTTGCCCCAGGAGCACCTGCCCACTCGACCCTCAGTAATCTTCCTGCCAAGCCTTCCTGCCAGTGCCAGAGGGTCCTCCTGTGTGTCCAGTACCCAGCCTCCATTTCACCTACCACTGCCCATTTCTCAGATCTGTGGGTCCCCATCCTTCCCTAAACCCCCTTCCCAGAGCAGGTCAGAGGTAGCGGGTGTCAGGTGGGCATCACAGCTCCAGGGAAGGAAATGGCTGTTCCTAGCTCCATCCAGGTGAGGCTGAAAATAATCATCCTCAAAGAGAAAAAACTAGGACACAGTGCGCTGGACAGACCCAGAACCCTGGAACCGAGGGTGGAGGTGCAGCCATGTCAGGCTAAGGGGATTTAGAGACCCCTCCCTACCAAACCTCAATTCCCAGTCATCCCCTCCCTCAAGCTCTGCCCAAACCTCCTTCCCCACCTACCTTGAAAACCCCTCAGGCTCCCAAGAAGATAAGTCCCCCTTTCACAGACGAAGCCAATTAATCCTTTCTCATGAAAAAAAAAAAAAAAACCCTCGGAAAACGGTACCCCAGACCCTCTCTCCCCCAGACCTTCCTTTATCCATCCCTTCAGAGTAAAAGCCCTTGAGCCTCTTTCATGAAAAAAAGCTCCCAGGTCCTCCTTTCAGGGAAAAAGGACCCAATTCCCCGGCCCCCGCTTCCAGTCAAGGAGAAAGCCTGGCTCCCCGCGCCCCAGAGTAGCCCTCACCTGGCTGGGGGCGGCGGTCGGTCGGCTTCTCTCCGAGCCCGCGATCCGGCTCCGGGCTCCGGGCTCTGGGCTCCGGGCGGGCGCCGGGCTGCGCACTGACCGCCCGCGCTGCGGCGGGGCCGGGCCTGGCGGGGCCGGCGCTGGCGGCAGCGGCGGGCGGGGCGCTGGGACCCCGGGGTGGTCTCGGGGTGGCGGGGCAGCGAGGGAAAAAGGGCTGCTGAAGAGCTACGCTCCGGGACAGCGCGAGGAGAGGCAGGATAGGGGCGGGCAGGGGGAGAAGCGGGAGGGGAAACGAGAGGGAGGGGCGCGCCGAGGCCGGGGAGCCGAGCCGCAGGGCCCAGGGGCACCGCAAGAAGAAGGCCCCCCGCGCAGGCAGCGCGAGCACCGGGCTCTTCTTCCGTGACCTCCCTAAAGCTTCCTCCTCTGGGTCTGAAGAGCAGGCATCATTAATCCAAGTTAGCAGATGGGGAAACTGAGGCAGAGGTCAACCTAGCGGTGGCTCAGGACACTCTACAGACCAGCCTTCTCCCTGGTTTGAGGAGAGGGGACTGGAGCAGGGCGCAGAGACTGGACTGGCCTCTGGACTGCAAGGACAGTGGAAGGTGAGAGTTTGGCTGGGACAGATGTCCAAGCTGAGTGGCACCGGGGGAGGGGGTCTGAGGGAAGAGAAGGATAAATGAATCAATGCTGCCAGTAAAGGAAGGGCTTACAGTGACCTGACATTTCACCTCCAAATCGGAAAATGTCTGTGGTTGGTAAGGAAGGAAGGAGGAAGACAAAACCCGCAGACATCAGAGGGTCAGCCTGTGCCCCCTGGGGAGGGGTTGAGGAAGGAGGGGAGTCCTTGGGGCAGAATTGAGTGTTGGCAGAAAGGCTGCTTCCACAGCGTCCGCAAGGAGGGAGAGGGTTGAGAAGGGCGATGGGAGGGCTCCAAGGGCCTGTTTGCAGAGGGACACTGACACCCTGCCTAGCTGGGCCGGGGTGGCAGGACCCAGCAGGACACCAGGGCTGGAACAGCTGTCTTCACACCGCAGCACTCACCGAGGCCCCTCCACGGCTTCCACTCTGGACTCTGGCATCCACCTCAGGGGGGGCTGCGGTCCTGACAGCTGTGCAGGGGACGACCTGCCTGGCTCTCAGTAGATGCTGACCAAATGGATGGCTTTTGAAGAGCCCCACTCTTCAGCTGCCAGAGCAGGACCCCTCTGCCTACCCCCCCGATTGACTCAGGGGACCTGAGCTCTAGTCCTGGCTCTGCCACAGACCCTCTGTGTGGTTTCTGAGAAGCCTGGTGCCCCGTGAAATCCCCTGTCCTCTGGAGCTCTCCTTCTGGAACTATCAAAACTTACACGACCCCAGTTAATCTAACATGGGTTAGTCCTCCTGAAGGTGTTGACGGTGATGATGAACTCATTAAGTGTTCTCCAGGGTGCTGAGGGAAGGATAAAATGAATCGATATGTGCCTCAATAGAAAAGGATGGATGGAGGCGTTTCGGCCTGGGCATGGGGGCATTTGGGGACAGAGGGTGAAGCACCTGTCTAGCCTTTCAGGACCACCTTTTGCCTCCTTCACCAGCCTGAAAAGGCCTAGGTGGGTGTGGGGGGAGGCCTAGGAGGGCTGGGGAAGGCAGGAAGCCAATCTGCGGCAGCCACAAGCCTTCTTCTGGACAAGGAGGTCAGGGTTGCCATCTTGAAGGTGCATTTTGAAGGTGTGATTCCAACAGTGGGAGGAATGGGAAGAAGGCAGGACTCTCAGGGCAGAACAGTTAAACCACTGGGGGTCTGTCTCAGGCTGAAAGCCATCTGACACTTTCCCTGGGTCCACAAAAGCATTTCAGCAGAGAAATGAAATGTTCATTTCATTTCTCTGGAGACAGGTGGCCGAGGCAGATGACAGCAGGGTTTTTGCTTCAAGGGATGGGACGAGGTGGAGGCCACTGGCAAAGGGAAACAGAGCAGGAGGACGCCATGTGCTGGTGGGCATCTAGGCAGGCTGGGCAGGCTGGGGGTGCACCCGAATGAAGTTAGGAGGCAGCAGGGTTCAGAGAAGAGCCCTAGGGCTAGGCTCTAGCTCCTGTCTGCTCCTACCACAACACAGTGATCATTTTCATAGCAAGTTCCTTTCATTGGGTGTAGCAGATGCTACCAGTGCCCCCAGTCAAGCCCCCAGGCCTACTTGGAGGTCACCTGCAGACAGTTTCTGAACTTGCTCCCTGTGTCTGTCCTGTGGCATTCCCAGCTTTGGACGTGAGTGTGGGGCAGGCTGGAAGTGGGGAATTAACGCCCCCAGGGTAACCCTCCACCAAGGAGGGCCCAGAGTTAGTGGATAAATCCTCTAGCTTTCAGTCCCTCTGAAAGTGGGGCAATTTCCGATTCCCAGGCCTGTTCCAGTCTCAGAAAGACTCCAGCAGAATGGAACCTAAGCTGTCCATGGGGAAAGCTTGCTTATCCCTGTATGCTTTGCTTGCTTTCCTCTCTTGCTTGTCTCACTCCCCCACTCTCTCACCCTGCTTCTGGGATCACCTCCTAAATAAACTACTTGTATCCAAATCTGCCTCAGGGTCGGCTTTTGGGGGGAAACCGAACTGAGACAATGAACGATAACTGTGTTAAGTGCTTTTTCATTTCGCCCATTATCTTATTTAATTTCTATTTATTTGTTTATTTTTAAATTTATTTTTGGCTGTGCTGTGAGGCATGCGGGATCTTAGTTCCCAGGGATCGAACCTGTCCCCCTGCAATGGAAGCATGGAGTCTTAACCACTGGACTGCCAGGGAAGTCCCCTTATTTAATTTCTTAACATCCCCTGAAGTAGATGTCACTAACCCAATTTTACAAATGAGGAATAAAGAGGTTAATGCAGAGGTAGGATTCAAAGCCAGGTCTGTCTGGCTCCAAAACCCAGTCCTTAGCCACTGTGCTCTGCGGCCTCCTGAATTCTTTGATCCTCTATGGGCCTTAATTTTTTTTTTTTTTTTTTTTTGCTGTACGCGGGCCTCTCACTGTTGTGGCCTCTCCCGTTGCGGAGCACAGGCTCCGGACGCGCAGGCTCAGCGGCCATGGCTCACGGGCCCAGTCGCTCCATGGCATGTGGGGTCTTCCCAGACCGGGGCACGAACCCGTGTCCCCTGCATCGGCAGGTGGACTCTCAACCACTGCGGCACCAGGGAAGCCCCGGGGCCTTAATTTTTCATCTGTAAAATGAGGAATGGGCTCATGAGTTTGAAGGGAGGCAATGTACCCATTGTCTCCGGCAGCTAGGCCTGGTCATTGAGATGTGTGCAGAAGTTATTAGGAGGGACTTCACTGGCGGTCCAGTGGTTAAGACTCTGCGCATCCATGCAGGGGGCATGGGTTCAATCCCTGGTTGGGGACCTAAGATCCCACATGCCGCGCAACATGGCCAAAGAAAAAAAAAAACTAAAAAAAAAAAAAAAGGATGGTGAGGATTTTACATAGTGCTGATAGAGGAGTAAGGGAATGGGATCCAGTCTAAGGTAAGAGTGTGAGCAAAGGTGTGGAGGTAGCATAGATTGGCCTGTATGTGGCTCAGTTGAAGAGGGAAGGGTTTGTGAAGGAGGCCTGGCAGGTGAGGTGTTGTAGGGCTTAAATGCTGAGCTAAGGAACTTGGTTTATCCTGCCGCAGGGGGTTAGGGCTCAGAGCAGTATTTAAGATTACTCCTACCACAGAGTGAAAGGCAGCATTAAACCATGCACAGAGCCCTTCTAAGTGCGGGACAGAAGAGGTGAGGAGAGACAGGGAGATCTCTAAGGAAGATAAAGGGAAGAGACAGGTGGAAGAGAAACTAAGAAGAGCTGCAGAGACTGACAGAGAGAGCGCGCGCGCACAAGCTCACAATTTAATTAGCTTCCTGGCTTGCCAGTGGCTTACAGGGGAATTAGCAGAGCTCAGAGTCTAGGGACCTTGCTGGGAGTTGAAGGGAAGCTAATAAGAAAGACAACAACAAGCCCCAGGGAGAAATGAAAGAGGAGGAATCGTCAGCCAAGCAGAGATGCTGGCAGGAGAAGCAGATGTCAGGGCGCTGAGTCCCTGCCTTCCT